GGTGGATGGTAATGTCGTCTTCAATAGGTAGAGAAGCAGAGACAGAGCTTAAATGGCTTGCCTTTGCTCGCAGAGGACAGCAAACCCTAGCTGACTAAGGTTCCTTTGACCGATGCCCATAATGGTTTCATGCGAACTTTAACCCAGCTCAAACACAGCCTCCTCCAAGAGGCCTTTCCTGGTTGCCCACGTTCCCTGGAGCTTGTTGTTAAATGCTATTTCTTCTCGGGCACCTTGCCGTCTACTGTGCATTTACCTTGTGTGTTCTGGGATGTGTGTGTGGGGTGGGGGGTGGGTCCTGCTCCATTAGAATATGACCTCCTTGACACCAAGAACTGATAATTATGGAGCTAATGGGGAGCAATGGTAGATGAGCCAAATAAAATGCATTTTGGATTCTCTCCTGGCTCCCAGAGCGTATAACAAATTGAAAAGCTTTTTAAAAATAGCGTTCTGTTGACCACTCTGGTTTGTCATAGAGCAGATTTGCCGTGTGGAAGCCAATGGTGTCACACCCTAACAGAAATGGGGGCCCCTAAGCTGTCCATGAGACTCCCCAGGCTGCATCTTGACTTAGAAAACCCCCTAGGAACATCTGTCCCTGCCGAGGCAGGATCGTCCCCCAGGTGTACTCGTTTGCCCTTCCTCTGAGGGACACGCTCTTTAGAGTGACCTTGGGCCCTCCCAGGTCAGAGTCTTGGTGCGTGGGTGATGCTGTAGGACAGATGCAGTCTGACTTCTGGAGAGCAGGGGTACCTTGTGTGCGTCTCCCATCTTCACTTGCTTTGGGGTACCTGATTCTGGAGGTGCCAAGACGAAGGTACGCTTTGGGGGGAACAGTGTGTGCTGCGTTCATGTGCCGTCTCCCCAGCAGAATGGCCACTTTGGGAAGGCAGAGGCTTCACAGCCGTTACTGAGTCAGCCCGTTCAGTATTGCAGCCTTGCTTGGTCCCTAGAGGGATGCTCGGTGAGGAGGCCCCCAGTTTGTGTATTGGTGGCTCTCATCAAGATTGTGTGCAGATGGAAGACGTTCTCTTGGCTGCCTTTGCCGTGTCCCTGGGGCCTTCCCTTTCTTCAGACCCTCGGGGTGTGTTGCCACTCACACCTGCCTTGTGCCTTCGGTGGAGCCTATCTGGCCACATTGCATCTGCTCTCTCGTGCCATTCTTGTCTCCCTAGGAGCACCCTAAAGATTGTGATGCCAGCGTCCAGGCATGGTGGTCCCACTGTCCTTGTGGAGCAGACAGCCTTTCTTCTGTTTGGGATCTTCCTTCCCGTTTCATCTCGATGCCTTCTGGATGCCTTGGCTTACTTGGCTGTCTTTCAGGCTGTCTCCCATGCCTTTGCTTCTCTGTTCTGTGAGACTACGCTGCTCATGATCACCATCTTTCTTTGTCAGATGGTCCAGCGGTGCCTTTGGCCACCTCTCCATTTGGAAACTTAAGTCACATAGTTATTGGCCAAAGGGCCTTCCGGACTTTTCTGGTCTTATCGGGGCATCTCATTTACAGGTTAAACTTCTGGCTATAATTATCAGGGTCTGTTTCAATGTGATTTTTTTGTCTTTTCCCTCAGATAATGGGGAACTCTTTAAATAGTTCAAGACTAAGGTATTTCACTTGTACGCCATCTGTTTTTCTCATTTTTTTTCTCTTTGCTTTTCACTCATTGTGATCCTAGCTCAGCTTGATGGTCTGATTGTCCACAGCCTGGGGCAGCCCCCACACTAATGAGCAGTCAGTCCCTGGCCTTCTTCGGTGCTTGGTGGAAGTGGGGAGCCTTGGGGTCATGTGCCCAGCCCTCGTCTTTGCGCACGTTGGCACCCAAGGCTGCGAGTGCTGGAGGAAGGGCCGAGGCACCTGGAGGGTCTTCTCTAGGTGCTGCGTGCACCACAGCTCTTCTCGCAGGCATCTGTCTTACCGTTGGTCCTCTTACACACGATCCCTCAGTATCCCATGAAATCGGGGTTCTGGTGTCCTTCAGGTGCTGAATCAAATGGCCTTCCTTCCCCGCTTCCTTTCCTTGCTGCTTTAACGTGGACTTTCCATTCAGCAGCTGCTTCCTGGCTCCCTAGAGAATGTGCCAGGCTTGGGGGGGTGAGTCGGACAGAACTTTGTTCATCCAGCACTGAGTCCACTTGTTAATTTTTGGGCGGGGTTTCACATTTAGAGGATCAATTAAATTAAAGTTTATTCACAGTCAAAAAACTGATTCTTTGCCCCCTCTGCCTGCTTCCCCACCACTATATCACCACAGCTGCAAAAATGGAAAGTGGCTGGGTGAGACTGAAGACCACTTTACAGTTGTACTTTTTTCATGAGTTAACAACCTGTGAAACCCCCAACCCCCTGCCCAAAAACCAAATCATCACAAAGTGATGAATCTGCCAGCCCCGGCACTGCGTATCTCCATCGTCCGTTAGGGTGGCACTCAGAAAACAGACTAGGTCTCTCGCCAGGGCCTTCCCAGCATGGTACAGTCGGCCGGAGCTCCAGCTTTGCCGGCCTGGCCCACGGGGAGACGTTGGAGTTTGTCTTTGTGAGGGGTCTCTGCCTGAAGTGGACCATACAGGAAGTGTGTTGTGGGAAAAAGCAAGGAATAATAAATAGGTCCAGGGTTGGCCTGTTGCCTGGGTCCTGTAGTGAGGCCCAGAGCAAGGCCTCCAGCCTTGGAGAGAGCATGGGCAAGACTCCTGCTGCGAGAGAAGGCCAGATGGATCACCATTGCCCTAGTGCGGAAATAAAGCCCGGGGGCAGGACCACAGACTCGGGAATCACGCAGGTATCGAAATGTCCTCTCTGTGATTCTGTCCAAGTCCCTGCTGCACATGTTCCCAGAACAGGACGAGGACAGTCCCCTTCAGCCCTGGAGGTGAGACCTTCCTCCCAGCTGACACGGACATGTGGCAAGAGACTGGCGGCTGGCATTCAGCCAACTCCAAATTGTCCAGCATCTGTTCCCATTGGACTCTCCGCTGCCTCGGGCTGGGAGCGAGCTGAGGTCTGAAGGAGGCTCTGAATCTTTGAGGCCCAGCCGAGCCTGCGTGGGATTTTTGTTGTTTTAGAGCTTGGCAGAACTTGTGGTCTCAGGTCTTTCACTTGACTTTCTTGGGCCGTTTTAGGTCATCGAAGGAAGTCCTTGGTGTTCCAGCAAACCGAGTGCTGGATGCTGAGGGCAGGATAGGCTGGGTAGGTTTCCTTTTGGAAATTCTTTTGAGTCTGATTCTCAGGAGTTCAAATCTGGGACTGCTCGCTGAACCCCTCTTAACATAGTACAGTGTGTATAGAAGAAAGAGTAGTGACTTTGAAGGCAACAGATCGTCTTGGGAGGCATCACGAGACATGGAGAGAGCCCCAGCCCTGGCGGCAGAAGACGGCTTCAGAGTCTCCTTGCGATGAGCGCTGTGCACTTTCTCGGCTGCAAAGTGAGGGGACTGGACTGGGCCAGAAGTATTTGTTGTGTGCCCCTCGGGCCACTCCCAAGTATGACCAGGTTGAAATGGAATTGGGGAATATTTCACAAGATAGATAAATACCACAGAGTGTAGGTGATGCCAGGGTGCACCTGCGCGGACCTTTGTGGATGGTTCCCTGGCCCCTGTTGGCATTGAGCTTGACACCCCTCACCTGGATGCCCTCGGGGCTCTCTTCCCTCTTGGTCTCTGGCATTTTTTTGCTTCCACGGCCATCGGCGTGTTCCTGGCCCAGTGGAAGGAGGCCTTTACCTAGCAGAGAGGCTAGTTAGTCCTCAGGAAGAATCGGAACTAGAATTTCTATAGCATTTTCCTTGTGTTATCTCATTTGAGCCTGGCCTCAACCCTGGGACGTCGATCCTCTTATTATCCGCATTTTATAGATGAGGAACTGAAGCAAACAGAAGTGAAATGACTTGCCCAGGGTCATAGAGCTAGCCCAGTGAGGCTGGATTTGAACTCAGGTCTTCGTGACTCCCAGGCCCCACGTTCTGTCTGCTGTGCTGCCTGGCTCCCACCGAGGCCACAGGGCTGTCCACTTGTTGCAGTGCCTGACCTTTGCCTGCCATCGTGGTTGCCCAGGGTCCAGCTCTGGGGGGAACTCGCTTTCCAGTAGGAGATAAAGGCTTCTCATTCCCCTCTTGACTTCATGAGGAATGTTGCTGAGTAGAGTCATGTTGCTTTTAGCTCTTGACAAGGGTTTCCCCCAAGAAGGGAGAGAAACTACTGTACAAACATGAATCAGATATGGAATAGGCAGCTTCTTCCCTTATAGAAAAGGGAATTCTAAGCAATAAAGTGCTGGATCACCACAGTCAAGAGCAGCCTAGACATCTGCCCACCTCAGGCCTGACCAGCAGGGAATCACCTTGTCCTTGGAAAGATCAGAAGTTCCCAGGGAAGCCCTGTGTCCATGCCCTCTGAGGAGGCCTCCAAAGACCCTGAGAAGTGGTGATCCAGCCTCTGTGCTTCCCACTGCTGCCGTCTGCTTGCCCCGGAGCAGCTGATGACCAGTTGGGTATCTCGTTGTAGTAAAGATGCTTCGCCCCTCGAGGAGCCAGATCTGGCTTTCTGCCGTTTCTGTCTCTGATTCTGCCCAGTCTCGTAAGACCCACGCAGAACAAGCCTCATCTAAGCTCTTCCCTGTCAGGGCCCTCCCACCACGTCCACCTCTGCGTCCCCGTGACCTTCCCTCCGAGCTTGTCTCACACTCGGACGAGGAAGAAGCCAACGACAGGATGACCCCAGGTGGTGCCCATCAGATTTAGTGCACGCAGATTTAAAAAAAAAATGCCCGATGCTTTTTATACAGCTAAGAGTTCTAAATGTCTCTAGAGAGCCGGGAGGATAATTCTCCCATTAATTAATTCTCTCCAGCTGTGGCTCTGGTCTCTGAAATTCTCTGGGCTCCCTGTCATCCTGAGCAGAGGCCTCAAGTGCCACAGGTATGATAACGAATCTAGAAACCCAGGTGTTGCAGCCTTGAATTGGAACTCCATCTAAAGAGATCTGTCTGTTGTTTGACCTAGGATTTCTCCAGTGATGATACCAAGCTGGAATATAATGTGGACGCTGCCAATGGCATTGTCATGGAAGGTTATCTGTTCAAACGAGCCAGCAATGCCTTCAAGACTTGGAACAGGTAATATGTTCTAAATACTCAGACCTACAGATACACACATACAGATATGCACATACATAGATGCACATAATCTTCATTATGTAATATGACTAGCTAATTCTTAAGCATTCACACTTGATCGCACAGGTTGCATTTTAAGGAAAAGGGTAGGGAAGTTATTATTATAACATGAATCTTAAATTCTACAAACTAAGAAAAAGTCAATTTTTTAATGTCAATGATACTGAAAAGTTCACTGGTTCTCATAAGTGACCAGATTTTTAAAAGTCTTTTCTGCACGATAGGGCCACCACATTGGACCTGCAATGTCCAATGAATAAGTGCCATATACATCGTGTGTAAGTCTTAATCAGCATCTACCACCCTGGGAAGGGAAGCTGCCGACAAGGGTTGATTTGGCTGGGGCTGCCTGGGGAGGGTGCTACCCTCTGGTTCTGGGGAGGGCTTGAAGCAACAGTCAAAGGTTTTCATGGGGCCGCTTTTGGAGTTGTGAGCTTCTTGCCAACTCAGATTCCGTGATCCTGTGAAAGTGATAGTCCCCGGGTGCTTACCATATGCTTTAAGGAGCATGCCGCAGGGACATCATGTAAGAATCAGTGATAGTAGGCTTAGATCTGAAGGCTGACGCCCTGGGATGCTTGCAGCTTACTAAAACTGTAGGACCAACTTAGAGTTTTGTTCTAGATCCCTAAGTGGAGCTTGTTTTGACCTGATTTGTTTTTCTCTTAAAAGAGGAGTGCAAACAAAAGATAGTTAATTGAACATCCGAGGCAGTTGGGTTCTGTTTACTCCGTGTTTTACTGTCCTTTTTGAGTAGGATGTGTGTAGTTGTTTTTTAATGTCATCTTCAAGGTTTTTAGTTTTTAATTTAGTTTAATGTTAAGACAGACAGTAGAGAAATGTAAAATGTTGTTTATTTTGGGTGGCATATATAATAAGAACAATTTAATATGGTAGATTAGCCTTAGGTGTAGCCATCTTTTTTGTTACTCATTTTGTTCAAGTCTTAAGCTCTTACTTTATATTCCAGACCCTGTGCTAAGTGCAGGGGATACAAAGAAAGACTTCATTCCTGTTCACCAATGTTTATGATACATTGCACACACTTCCCCTTTGAAGAACCCAATTTTGGCTTCCTTTGGCTGTGTGGGATCCATGTCCTTCTTGGAAATTCTCTTCTCACGGCAGTGAATGCTGACCATTCCTCTAGAGTGTGAAAGCCTTCGGGTACTGGACACAGGAGGGTCTGTGCCAGTCACTGACTTGGTTGTTTTCCGGTCACATTATTTTAGTGGGATAGGACTTTGCTCTGAAAAGGTTGACTGGGTACTTGGCAAGAGGGCAGCTCCCCAGTCTTGTTGCCCTGTACAGGGCTGAGAATGATGGCCTGGAGTCGTCAGGAGCCATCCCTTTCCTGGCCCTCGTAAGCTCCAAAGGGAGCCAGGAAGGAACCTTGTCCAAAGACATGGTGGTGAGTGTGTACCCTACTCACTCACCCATTCTGCCGCGTGGCAGGGCTTCTGGTAGCGGCCCACTGTTATGTCATCAGGACTTCCCAAGATGGCGGACTTGCCAAGTGGAACCCAGGAGGTGGAAATTCCCCAAACGACTGCAGTGAGAAAGGAGCCAGAGTCCATGGCCTGGGGAAGTGACTTCGCCTTGGGGAAGAAAAAATCATTTTCCTTTAGGTTGTAATTTTATTATTGTCATGAACTGATAGAGTAAATAAGACTAAACTGTTTCGAGAACAGAATTTTCAGCTCAGTCAGTCCAGAGCAGTGCTGTGTGATGCAGAGGGAGCCAGCGTTAGAGTCAGAAAGATCCTGGTTCCACACTGATGAAGTCATGGGGTTACCACTAGGGAGCACCACTCTCCCAGGGGGCCTGTGAAGCCCCAGTGAGATCCTATTTGTAAAGCGCTTAGCTCGTTGTCTGGCTGCCTGCCTTCCCTTTCTAAAGTTACGACCGTTATTTTAATAGGTGGACCACTTGATTGCGGGATGCAGTTATAAGTATGGAATCTTGTAATTTGAAATAATAGCTATTAATTTCTATTTTCAAGAGAAATCTGAAAAAAGTACATTTCCACTTCATCTCCCTGTCCTGATACACTTTAAAATGTACCATAATGGGGGCAGCTAGGTGGTGCGGTGGATAGAGCACTGGCCCTGAAGTCAGGAGGACCTGAGTTCAAATCTGGCCTCAGACCAAAGACACTTGACACTTACTAGCTGTGTGACCCTGGGCAAGTCACTTAACCCCAATTGCCTAAAAATTAAAAAAAAAAAAAAGTACCATGATGTTCATTAGTCCATCCTGTGGTTGTGATGGGTATTGTAGCTTGGAAAGACTGGCTCTTTTCATCTAAACAGCTAAAACTGAGTAGTGACGACAGGATTCAGAAACAAGGATGTCACTGTTTTCTCTAGAGGAAAGAAGGAAATTTCCACAAACCTCACTTTAAAACGGGAAGGGATTTGGGGGAAGAAAATGAGAAATTGGCAGAAAACTAGTGGGAAACTTGTAGCTGACTTGGAGAGAAGCAGGAGCCCTGGGGCCACAGAGACTCTGCCGGGCCTACAGTCAGGAGACCCTTCACAGGCAGGAGCCCCTGGGGGGCCCTGAACCTCTCCAGGCTTTGGTTTTCTTTTCTGTATGTTGGGGGCTGGCAGTAATAGCACCTTCCTCCCCGTGCTGTGATGACCCTCTCTCAGTGCTGACTTTGAGCAATCAATCAGTGTTCCTGGCACTGAATCATCTGTTCTCTTTGTGCTTTTTGGCTTGGCCATGCGCTCTGACCTTTCTCTGTCTGACTTGCCCTTTGGCTGGCTCAGCTTCTTTCCCATGCTCCCGGCTTTTATCCTCTGAACCGGAGAGGGTGTGTTGGAGGTGGTACCCGGGCTTCAGATGCCCAGAGCTGGGATTCAGCTGCCAGAAGCTGAGGCTTCTTTGTCTTCCAATTCACTGATGCACTTGAGTCCAGAAAGAGGCTTCCAGGTGTCACAAGACCCAGGCCGAAGCCAGGTATGACCCACTCAGTGAGAGCAGGTGGTACAACCGTGGCAGAGTATAGGGAGGATGTGATCTAACTGGACAGGAGGCAAATTTGTTATTCAAGGCCTTGTTGATTCCATTTTACAGAGGGGGAAACTGAGGCTTAGAGAGGGGTTGGGATTTGACTGTGGTTACTTTGTAAGCATCAGAGGCAGGATCTGAATTCAGAACTCTTAGCTTCAAGTGCTCCATGGCACACGGTGCCATATTCAGCTCTGTAAAGTGAGGGGTAGCATAGCCCAGTGGAGAGTGTGTGGCATGTGGAGTTAGGTTTGAATCCCACTTCTAACACTGTCCAGTTGGTTTACTGTTCTGAGCCTCTGTTGCCTTATCTGTGAAATGGGGATAAAAATGCACTGCTTGCCCCACAGCTTAGATTGGTTGAGAGGAGAGCAGCCATGTGAAGGTGCGAGCTGCTTTTATATTGTAAACGTTGGCCAAGGTTCCCCTGTAGAATGCTTCTTAATAAAAGGTCAGGTTTTAAAGGTAGATGAAAAACTACAAAGAAAACAGGCTGTGTAGACCTGACATTCTCCTGCCATCATTTTTAGTGGTGCTTTCTCAGGGCCACTTTAATTCCATTCAGCCATGAGTGGGATCCCGCTGACCAGGCTTTGGTCAGAGAGGATTGCAGGCCATGGGGAGCTCACAGCGTCTGGATGTGCACCTGTGTGTGACAGCACTCCTGGAGAAATCATTAGAAAAGAAAATGTCCATGGGCAGTGCAAAGTGAGGTGAGGAGGGCCGGGGTTCTTACTGACCTTTGGGGCAGGAGGGGACTGGCTCAGGGAGGAATGCGCTTTTTGGGATGGTCTTTAAAACAAAGTAGAAAGTCTGGTGGGGGCTTGTACTTTTCAAACTTAGGAAACTGAAGGAGGACCATGTACATGTGAGGATTTGTGGGGGTAGTAAGTGGTCTGCTGTGAGGGAGAAAGGAGGAATAAACATTTGTGTAATGCAAATAGACAGCAGAGAAGACTAATCTCTCACCCCTAAAGTGTTGACTCTGAACCCTGTGCCCCACCAACCTTCACTTTCTAAGAAGACTGCACAAGCTAACCTGTGAGCTTGCAACTGTACCCCCCCCACCCCAACCTCTCCTACTCCTACCACCTTCCTTCTCCCTGCCCTCCTGCTCTCAGTGCCACGGAAAACCAAAAAGCAGAAGCTTGCTCTTGCTGGGACTGAAGCGTGGCAGTGTGTGAGAGTGAGCAACAGGGTGGGTCACCACAGGGTGGGTCACCAGAGCGTGCGTGGATCCGCCAATTCTGCCTGAACCAAAGGCCATGGCATCTTGCTGGGGTCACGCTCTCTTCTCTTCCCCCCATCCGCCCATGCAGAAATCATTTGGGGCAGAGACTGAGGCTAGTAACATGACCCACATGGGAAGAGACTGAGTCAAGCTTGAGTCTAACCCCCAGGGGAAACAGCCTTCAAAGGGGAAGGAGTCAGAATGTGACAACAGTGAATGGAAAGAAAAAATGGAAAATAACCCAAGAACTCAGGTGGAGGAAGACTCCATTAAAGGCCTTGAGTGTAAGCAGATAAACCAGCAGGGAAGCTCTTCCTAACAGAAGGGAACGTGGCCTCCGGATCAGTGAAATGATCCTAGACAACTATAAAGAGGTACTGTAAATCACAGGAAAATGAGTTAGTCCTTTGCCTGATGAGGCAAGGAACCCTGTTGATTCCTAAGAGAGCGTGGAGCCGTAGCAGGATATACCTGAATGATTTAGAAGAGAAATAAGAATTGTGAAAGCCTTTGGCCAGCAGAGTAGAAATCATTGGAAGAAAGGGAAAAACTTGAATCCACAGTGGCAAGTCTTCAACAAAAAGAGAATAACTGATTGGGGATACAAATACACAGAAGTCAAGGACCATCTGGAAGAAGAGAAGCAGAAAGCCAGTAATGTTTGGGTTTTTTTTTTAAGTGTGAAAGCAAAACA